AGATTTCCTTCCTCTGACCTCGTACTCTTGCAGCCACCCACAGCTCAGCATATGACTGTGCATGTTTTAGGGATTGTTGATGTTACCGTGTTCATTTCTATGATTTGTTGTCTTATGTACAAATACTTTTTAAAGAAAATACTTCCTTTGCTTTTAAAGGATGCACTGAGGCATTAGTGTAAAAACAAAGTTAACTTGATTTAAATAAAATTACTGTACAGAAAGCGGAGTTCTTCAGTTTTGTGAAAGGTGGCTCTGGGTGTAGACTGGTAGTAGGAACGACTCCGTGCAAGCAGCACATACCTAGGGCAGGTCACCCTGTGTCACCCTGCAGCTCCGGCCTCGGTGGCCCCATGCCTGGCTGTGTCCTGCTGCCAAAGAGCTGCGTGAGGGAGGGAGTGAAACCTGCAGGAACTGCTGGAGTTCAGCTGATTGTTATCTTGGTTGGAGGCAAAGCTGCACTCTGAGGGTATCTGCCAGGGCTCAGGATGAGAGAGGCACAGAAATCAGAAGGAAGATCACTTGGTATGAGAACAGCTTAGAAAAATGGAAGGATAAGACTTAACATTTCATTAGCGTGATTGTTCTTTTGTGCTTAATAATAAGTTATGGACCAGAAGCAAACAGCTGGCCCTCTCCTGGAGCGGGCTGGCCAGCTTCAGGTGCTGCTCAGGATCAGATTTATATTTAAAATGCCCCTGAATTCCAACAGAAGCAACCCTTGGAGTAAGGCCCTGATTATCCTCTTTGCATACGGCTCCTTTTCGCCTCGGGTCTGTCTGGCATTGCGTATCCAAGTCAGTATCGCTGTAGCCCTCCATTCTGCAGCTCCTCATAAAAACGGCGTCACAGGCCTGATGAGCTTGAACCAGAATGTAACCTTGAGCTATTTAAGCATTTTACTTTTCCACAAAGTTTCTGTTCTTTACCTAGCACTAGATGTCTATTAATTGGTAGCGGCTGCCTCAGCGTAGGAGGCCGCAGAGACGCAGGCACGCTCCTACCTGGGAATGCAGCTCGCAGTAAAGCTGAAAGGAGAACTCAAACAACCAAGGAAGGGACCTGATGCGTCGCTGGTCTTTCACCTTTCTGCACACTGGGAAGGCAAGTTCAGTGTCACAAGGTTCCACCTTTTCTCATACTTCTGCTGGGTGGAAAAGAAGCTTCTCCTTTAGGGAGAAAAAGGCTTAATGGGACAGAGCTGCAAACCTGCAGAGCTTTATTGGGGGCAGCGAGAAGCCCATTTGTGTAATAATCGGTTGTCTCTGACCCTTTCACACGTGGAAGGGAGGCGCTGGCAGTCGGAGCACGAGCAGCAGCTCCAGCTCCATCTCCGCTGTAACAGCGCTCGTCCCCGCAGCCGGCCTTTTGGCCCTTCAGCAAGGCGGAACTGGCTCCCAGGGTTACAAAGCTGCTCTGAAGTAGAAGAGGGGTAATTCAGCTTTGGGGGAGGAACAGTCTGCAGCCACAGCTTGAGAAGTTTCCAGTAAAACAGATATTCATTAGAATGAGCAAATGGAACACAGGAAAGAAACCCTTGCTCCTTCTCACTTAGCAGCTTACAGCTGTATCTCCTGAGGTGCCAAACCCAGCCCACCCCCAGTGCTCGGAGGGGGCCGAGAGGAACATGCACAGGAGCCAGCCTGAAACAGCAATGGGCTACCCACTGTCCCTTCCCGCCCCCCTGTTTTTTTCTTTCTAAAGCAAACTCGATGCAAAAAGTGTTCTCTGCTGTGCAGCGCAAGTGGTGTTTCCCAGATTTTGTTCTGCTCAGGCCACTTGTGGATGTTCTAGGACAGATATGAACCAAGTGCTGTGATTTAAGTTGTCCTTCACCAACGCACCCACCTCACCGTTATGAACTCCAAGGCAATTAAAGGTAAATATCTCAAGAGACTTCCTCTGGAGACCTGCAGAGCTCCAGGAGCTGAAGGGCAGCAGCAGACTCCTGCATGGCTGGGCCTGTCACGAAAAGCCTCGCTCCTAGCGTAAAAACCACTCGAAAGTCAGGCTGGCTCTTTGAATAAAGCAGATCTATTTCAGCACCATAACATTTTATTAAACTACACTATCAAAAAATCACATTGAGGACAGGGAGAACATTGCTGTCAGTGCATATTTTCTGTACTAAGACTGTGTTCGTAGCATCCAGCACCTGCCGAGGAAAGGACGCTGCGACAGAATCCTTCATAGCAAAGAGACAGTAGAAAACTCTTCTACAAAAATCAGGGCAGTTGGTGGCTAGCTGGAAGAGATGGAAGGGAAGCGCTTCAAGTCAAATCAGTTAGCGAGGGTTAGTTTCAAAAAGTCTACTTTTAACCGGTGTTTGTTAGCTTCTTCATCTGGGAGACGAAGATGCTGATAAACAGCGGTTTTTAGGTAGCAGTCCCTGTCCCTGCCCCTGCCTGTGCACAGACCCACACAAATATTGTGTACTGCTCCTTCACTTGTGAACTGTGATGCACACGCTTGGATACAACAGCTTGAAGTGTACTACAGTTATAAAAACCTGCTTCATCTTCTAGAACAAACAATAAAAAGTAGCAGAAATACGTTCTATACAGAAGTAAAAAAAAAAAAAATACCCCAA